TAAATTATGCCTCTTTCATTCTAGAATGACAACATATTATAACACGAAAACATAAGTGTTTAGACTAAATAGCTTAAATCTCATAACATTTTACATTTATATATATTTATTATTTTTATTATATTGACATTTCAGCCATGCCTGGCTAACAATACAAAAGTTACAATGATGCGGCTTACGTGCTCTCATGTTACCGTATCCAATAATATGAAACTGGCCTATAGTCTTTGCAAATACAGTCAAATTTTAGTTAGAATGCATTATGTATGTATATAGTTTATTACTATTTAGAAATAAGTTCTTAAACTTATTTTTCTTAAAACATAGAACAGTAAATAAAGAAGTAGAGCAAACAATTTTCTTCTAGTTACAACATTTGTACTCGGTTGTTGCTTGATATAGGGTGCTAAGCCTTTAAAATTGCACATGTGGAAGATATGAAATGAAATAATTTTTTTTAGGTTTCATATATACTGTTGAATAACCAAAAAATCATAAATTACTATATCGATACCATAGAATTCCACTATAATTTATCAAGCTTAGTAACTAAGCTGTAATTGGGTCTAAAAAATGAAATTTTGAGCAAACTAAAGACACAATCTACCTTCTTAAAATCTTGGGTTGAAAGAATGAGATGACGTTCTAACACATGAAAATAGCTGAGAAAGCCACTAAGAGGGCATTCTGAGCTTTTGAGTGTTTATTCACATGTCATATAATGAAGTAAGTGTATACAAGTGACCATTTTCGAAGTAGAAAGAGGTGAGCAGGGCCATTGTGTTTGATTCAGTACATGAGTGATATCTCAGCAAATAGAAAATATATATGGTTTTTATTTTATATTCTAGCTTGTCAATATCAGTAATTTGAGTTCCTGATTCATACAAAACAATAGACTTAGTATTTTGACATCACAAGCATCTAATTTGAACCAGTGCTGCATTGAACATACTACATGACACACAAAAATCTATGTTTATCTGTGTTTCTTAATAATTACTTTTAAATTAAGAAATTAAATAATGTATAATACTAAAATTTGAATTATAATCTACAGTTTGATACCAAATTTATTGACATAAATTAATAAAATTTTAAATCAGAGTCAACAAAGGTGATGACATGGCCTTTGACCTGTGGCTCATCTGGAGATGGTTAACTAGATTTATGATGTAACAAGAGTATCATGCATTTTTCTTCTTGAACCAAATATCATACAATTCTTCATTAGAAACATGTTCATGAGCATCAGTTTCTGTATGTTTAAACTGGAAAATTCCCAAAGTGAAAAATAAAGGTTATCAGTTTCAGGAAATTAAGCTGCATTGTGTCTTCAATCTTTTTCCAAATTAATCTTTTACAATCTAGTCCATGGGACTTCACAGTATATGCTGCAGTTTTTTGGGTAGTCTGTGGGACTTCACAGTATATGCTGCAGTTTTTTGGGTAGTCTGTGGGACTTCACAGTATATGCTGCAGTTGGTTGAGTAGTCCGTGGGACTTCACAGTATACACTGCAGTTGGTTGGGTAGTCCGTGGGACTTCACAGTATATGCTGCAGTTGGTTGGGTAGTCCGTGGGACTTCACAGTATATGCTGCAGTTTGTTGAGTAGTCCGTGGGACTTCACAGTGCGCTGCAGTTTGTTGGGTAGTTATGACAGTTCAAGCATGCAATTTGCTACGTTTGTATGTTTCACAAGATTAAGATGATATTAATGGGAAAAGACATCAACAATTTAGATGAAAGAAAGATGTTTGTTTGTGAAGAACATATCCAGTAACTTTAATTGTTTGGCAAAACTATTCAATACACATTCTTGACCAATCTTGATAGGCTAGTTTCTTCAATTGTGTTTTGCTTGCATCTTTGAGGAAGGAAACATGGCATCTGGGATTTAAATCCAAGGTCATGCATAAGCTCAAGTGCATCTTTGAAACCACAGTCAATTCAGTAACATCACATTATTGCATCCAACCATGGATGTCTTTAACACTTTTGCTACAGGCATTTTTTTCTGTGCATTTCATGAGGTTTTAGTGAGTTATATTCAAAATTGAATTAAAGTATATTATTATCATGGTATCCAAACATAGCTAGTAATCCAAATTTTGATACATGTTTTAATTTCTTAATTTTATAAAGCAATATAAAAAAATAATCCTGAATTTCCCCTAGTATGAGAATTTTGATATTTGCTCTCTATATATACCCTCTTCTCTAATTTACTTACCATTCCTCCAAGAAGTATGAAATTTAACATAAATTGCTTGTTATAATGTTGTCGTTGCTCAAGCAAAACATAATTTGTATAGCCTTCAATCTTTTTAAAGCTGTAAACTAGAAAATCATACATCTCTTTCCACGTCCAACTGTCACATCCTCTCATTCACAAATTGACAATAGTTCTCTCATGTTTAATACTATATTATTTATAACCAATAGAAAGCCAAGGTTTTAATCTATCAAATGACATATTATATTACATTGTTTTTTGTACAGAGAATTGTTTATTTTGTTTCCAGTTCAAGTTGAGTTTAAGAGTGGAATTTGTTTTCACAAAAAGCCTGTGTTTGTTAATTTAGGCTCTAACTCATTGTAACAAGTAAATTTTCAGGACAAGAAAATTAGTGTATAAAATATGAGTTTTAACATTTGTTTTTTTGTAACAAGTAAGGTGACTAAATTTGTCTATTGTGGTCCATTAAGCTGTGCTTGTCTCTCTGGATGGGTTTTATTTGTTATTTTAATTAAAGAATATGTAGTTATAATATTAAATGTAAAAAAAAACAACAACAAAACTTGAGTGGCTTTTAGCCTGTGTTTTCTACTTTACAGATTTAGTAAAGAACTTGGCTCAAGCAATAGATGCACTTGTGTTGGATCTTTCAGAAGGCTGTGACCACAAAGAACAGGTATTGATTCACAAATTTTATTCTCTGTCAAGCTCAGATGTATTAATAACTATTGAAACACTTCATGAAATTATTCTGTCCTATTTCATCTTGTACTGCATGTTGGATTGTGCTAAAGGTTCATGGTTCACATTTCCTTGCTGTAAAAAAACAAAACGAAGAAAAGTGTTCTGTAATTTTGGGCCATGTGTATAAGAGTGATGGTCAAATTATTAAGCACTGAAGCTTTATGTATCAATGTAGCTATTACTGTTTAAAGAATTTAATGTTATATATTTAATCTGGCTAATGCTATAAATAATTAAAAGATCTGTTGAATTAGTTAAATTACATGAACACGTATAAACGTACATGTTATTTAGAATGGCTAGTGCAGATTGCTCTTCTGTAACTTTGCATGAATCTCCGAAACAACCAACCATCTTGCATTAAATGTTAGTAACTATGTCTATCTGACAAAAAAAGTAACATTGTTCAGTGGTTTGTTTAATTTCTTCACATATATAACCTTACTAGTTTTGTTCTCTTTGATTGGTTGTTTAAGTTACTGAACTCAGTAAAGGTGTTATAAGTTTCCTTGTACCTTGTTTCAAAGTTAGTTCTAATACAGATTGGTGGATAGGATTACAATATATCCAAACCTTGTTTCAAATTTAGTTGTAGCACAGATTGATGAATAGGATTATAATATATCCAAACCTTGTTTCAAAGTTAGTTCTAATACAGATCGGTGGATAGGATTATAATATATCCAAACCTTGTTTCAAAGTTAGTTCTAATACAGATTGGTGGATAAGATTATAATATATCCAAACCTTGTTTCAAAGTTAGTTCTAATACAGATTGGTGGATAAGATTATAATATATCCAAACCTTGTTTCAAAGTTAGTTCTAATACA